CATTGTCTTTGTTCTGTTCGCTCCTTGTTGTTCTAGCCACTGAATTAGCTCACAGAGACACCGAGAGACGAAGAGAGAGGGAGAGAGAGAGAGAGAGAGAGAGAGCGAGAGACGAAGAAAAAGAGAGAGAGAGCGAAAGCGAGAGTGAGGGAGCTGGGTCTCAACAACATGCTGCTGTTTTTGCAACGGCCACTGGCTCCTGTTCACGTACTGTAAATTGTAGTGTTGTCGCTACCACTCTTGTGGTATTCCCAGAAACACTCTGGGGAAAACATTCAGATGGCAGGCAGAGACCTTTGCTTAAAAGGGGCCTGTGGACAATATCCGGATATTACAAGAAAACAAGAAAAGACGTACCTGCTATTTACAGACTATAAAAACAAACACGATTCTGTGGAAAGAAGGGGCCTGGTTAGATTGTACATAAGGTGTTTAACTTCACATGGAGTATACTTAGTGTACACAATGTGGGGAGGCTCCAGTAGTTCAAACAGAACATGTAAACACTGTAATGGGGCAAAGACCCAGAGGCACTTGACCTCAGTCCAAATATTACATAATATTTACATGAGGGACAGTTGGGCCCAAAACCAGCAAACACCAGTTGTGTATATATTAGGAATGTGCGCGGTTAGTCGACTAAACGATTAAATGTTGCTACCCTTACTTGTTGGCACCAGAAGTAGTCCTCATGCTACACTCAGCAGCAGACTACAGCCTCCCTTTTATCGTGCTTATGTCCAGATATTGCAAAACAGCAAGGTGGAAGCTGGTACCCTGACATCTCGTAAAACCAGTGCGGTTTGGCTGTATTTATATTTCGAAAACGAAAATAAGGTTGTATGTAGGCTATGTCAGAGTAAACTGGCACATAACCACTTGACGAGAGCAATGCGCAACCACACTCAGCACAGGCATGTCAACGTTAACCTGCAAGATATTTTAAATGTAAGGCTATTTATTATAGAAGAATTTAATGTGATTTTTCCATGGAAGGGAACACTTGTACAGGTTAGATGTGGGGAAAAAGGTCTTGGATCTGTCCAGGATTTTCATATTCAGCATTTTAGACCACAAAAACTACTGGCTAAATTATTACATCTGTGTATTTTACACTAATTAGTCACATGATCTATAATTTACATGTTTTGCTTTTTTTTGTTTGTTTTGCTATTTTATTTATTTTTATTATTTATTCATTTATTAAATTAAATTATTAACTTAAGGATGGCACTTTTTAATTTCGTTGTTCTCATACAATGACAATAAAGACATTCTGATTCTGATTAAAGAAAAAAAAAAAACATGCACAAAACGCAAAGGGGGAACTAGGATCTATGTACAACACCTAAACATGCAGGTTAGAGTAATGCCCTGGAGACATGTGGGTCACCTGTCATACTTACACTCTTTCATCATGCCAATGTCCACACAGCGTTTGAGCCGGCATGCCTGGCAGTGGCGCCTGTTGTCCTTGGTGATGGTGCAACTGCCGTTAAAGGGACATGTGAAGGTGGCCTTACGCTTCATACTGCGCCTAAATAAATGGCATACATTTTAAAATGTATTAAAATACAAATATATTAAAATCTGAAAGCACACAAAAATAAAAGAAAAAGAATTTCTGGAAGTTAATATGACTTAAAAATTTGACTTTGGCTCTATGTGTTTGACTGAGCTGGAGTGTAATTTTGTTTATAACAGAGATCTGTGCAAAGAATCTCACTTTAGCAAAAAAAAAAAAAAAGAAAAAAAGTGGCACCTTTGACAGTGTTTTACACAAACAATAATAATGGCAGAACTAGATAAATATTTTTGCCCTTCAAGTCTGGGACTGAGTGGAACAGGATAAATATGGATGAGTGCCAAAGAATCCAAGGGTAAAAGAGGAGTGTTGCCAAATGCTGACGCAAAGCATAATGATTTAGTCAGTGGTGGACATGTATGTATGCACATTTATACACAGATGTGAGCAAAAACACACAGACACACATGCTTCGTGAGAGTTCAAACAAGGGCCATCTGAGAGATGAGGAAAGAGATTATTAAACATCCGTCTTTTTTTCCCTCCACTCCCTTTAAATATCAACGCTGCTGAGAGGAACGGCTCCAAATGGATGGATACATCAAACACACACAAACTCACAAAATCATGATTGTTCTAGTTTTGTGTTTGGCTAAATTAGAAACTCATGTCAGTATCAACGAGCAGGGAGCAGCCGTCGGACCAAAATCATTTTTAATCTCAACCTGCTGCTGAGCATTAGAGCAAACACGAACATTGTCAGTTGTTTTGTGTGTGTTCCTATGTAGCTGTGGGCGGCAATTATCTTTTATATGTGTAAGCATGTGGGTGGCCAGTATATATGGAATTTTAGACCTGTGTTTTTATACTGATGTGTACATGTGTCAATAACTTAATCAATATACACTTTTTTCCCATCGGGAGGGGTTTGAGCTTGTGTGCAGTTACACAAATCATACTGAGTGTGTGAGTTTATATCTGCGCACACAAGAATTTATGTCTGTTTTGACTTCACGTACTGGTGTGCGCGTCTGTGTACCTGAAAAAGCCCTTGCAGCCCTCACAGGTCATGGCGTTGAAGTGGAAGCCAGTGGCTTTGTCACCACACACACCGCAGATCCGTGGCACATTCCTATCAAACTCATCAGGGGCCAGAGTGGACGTACTCACAACTGTAGGCTCCATCACTAAACAGAGAGGGAAGTGGAGAAAGAAAAACAAAGGAAATAAATAACGACAGACAAAACCACCTTCTGGTTATAGAAATTTGTTCCCTTACTCAATACTCCCCCCCCCAAAAAAAACCCCAATAAGCACAGAAAAAAGAGAAACAAGAAATAGCCTGACAACTTCTTACATCTAAAGTCAATTTATTTTTTACATTATTTTATCTGTTCAGTGTTCCACTGCACTTGATATATGAAAACAGACATATTAAGAGTCCAAGTTTAATCATGGGATTTTTAAATTGTATTTTAACTATCATCTAGTTTTTAATATTACAAAAGTGTCTTTGTCAGCCAGGCTGCATCCCTTGACTCTGGACAGATTTAGCAAGTCTACCCCTTGGAGGCGAATGTAACTCCAGTGTTTCTGTCCCGAGGCAAGGAACTGGAGCCATATGAATCAAGTGGAAAAACCCTTATTACACTCAAAAATGCTGTATCTGGCTTACATTTGATTACATAGTCCTCCAAGTATCTATTTCACTTAACAGCCTCGTGAGAAGGAGAAAAAAGGCATGTCACCGCAAGGCTAGCATCCTCATAAACAAACAATCACTGTCCTTTTCACAAAGCTCCTTTCTTATTTTTTTCTTTGCTTCCACTGCAGAGAGAAAGCGAAGCAAATGATGGAAGGAAGTGGAGGGAGGGGAACCTAACTAAACCAATACAAACCCCAACAAAATGCACAAATCAACAGCCAATAAGTAAGGGCCTGACTGAATAATTTAAACTAATTTGACAAGAGCTGTTCATCATTCACGTCTAATTAAAAAAACAAAACAAAACACTGTTCTAGGTGAAAGTCTTACAACTTTTGCTGCTGTTTTTCTAACCAGCTAAGCAGTGAATATGAATAACAGCATGTCTTTAAACTAATTTTATTAACAGAACATTTAGTATTTATTAAAACAGAAGGTCAAAAGAAGAGAGGAAACAGAGGATATAGTCATTGCTTCACTGCTGCAGGCATAGTGGATAGCTGTGCCTCAAACCTCTACAGTAGCTACAATAGGCACCACATGCTTCAACCAGGAATATCTGATACATCTGTTACGGTACAGTAAAACATGTCGGCAAATATTTGTCGAGGGAATTCAGCAGATGGGTCGAGCAGAACTCTGATAAACAACAGGCTGCAGAGAAACTCTTCAGACTGCTTGGCCTCGCTCCTGAAGATGTGAGCTCTGGCCAGGTGATGTACAGAAAACTAAAAGTACAGTACTCATTTTTTCACATTTTATTTTCACATAAGGAACAATTACATCCAAACAGAAATGTGGCAGAATAGCTCTTTCCTGCGATGCCTGACAAATAAATTACTTTATTTGTATTCAGCAGAACATTTACTGTTTACATAATGATCCTGTGACCACCTGATTTGTCTTGTTTTTATTATGATTACTAACTACCCTCTAATGACAGGATAGGTAAGGGTGTGTCCTGAGTTCTTGTTGTTCCTAACCGTCTCATTGCACAGTTTGTGCTTCTTTCTTCCACTCAGCCTTTCTCACATCCCTTTCTTTTTAAGTGTACAGTGCAAATGTTGACCCAAAGGTCCTTCAGAGTGTCATACCAGGCTACAAAGGCGGCACTAATCATCAATCATATTAAGCAAATTTCATGTTGTTCTGACAGCATTATACCAGCATTAATTCATGGACACATCAAGATAAGGCCCCCAGGCTATTTGCTATACAACTACACTTGCTATCAAAGAGATGAAAATATGAATGGGCATACGTTTCAAGCACTCACAGTCAATTTATCCTAAATAATGGGATTTCCACACTGCCTGGACTCTGAGGCTATATAGGGGTTGTTTACAAGCAGTAAAACGAAGCAAAACACATTTGAACAGGATGTTTTCAAAGCAAAGCAAAGAGTCCCATGGAAATACTCCTTTGTACTATAAGGGTTACTAAACTTGTAAGGTCAATCCCAGAAGTCGTAACTTCTTAAGTCTCATGATTCTCTGCTAAAATTGATTTTGTGGGCCAATTTGTCTGTTCCAAAATAGTTTTGAGAATCAGCTACGACATTATGGAGCCCCCTTATGTTGTTGGAAGTTTGTTTGGGATCTGTCTAAAATTACTACTTTGGTGAAACTGGAGTAGCTTAGTTGCTGTAAGAGCTGACCCGTAAACAAAGAAATCATGCCAGGCAATGTGAGAAGCCTGGTGTTGATCTTTCTCAGATACAGTCTTAAACCAAAGCCCTGCTGGTATTTAGAGAGGTGGCACATTATCAACACACAAAGTACTCGATGATCCAGCAGAAACACAAAAAACACAAACTCCTAATTGTTCTGATATAATGTAATGTTATACAATCCTGCTCAGTATAAAGGGCACAGAGCTTTATAATAAAGCATAAAATCAGCCCCAACGTACGTAGGCAAACTACTCCCAGCGGACCTTTACACTCATCACTCACTGTGAACCAAAACACCCATTTACCTTACTATATCATCGAATGATCATCGAAGTCAGTCCTCTGTGATTGCATTCAGCCTTGACAGGCCATTACACTAAATGCACAGTAGAATTGAGAGAGCTCTAAATAATGCATCAGGTTATTAGACCAGATCTGTACTCATTCCAGTCCCGGGCACGCAAAGCCGGGGAACAGGTTTTCAGCTCTAGGCTTCTCCTGATTGTCTCACTCTTGAATGATATACATATTGTGGGTACACTGTTTGGCAGCATCAATCAAATCTGTCATGGCAGTAATTATGCAAAATATTACTCTCCTGTGTGTGTTAGAGTGCCATAAAGCCTAAGAACAAAAACATATACTGTGCTTTCTGATTAGTTTACGGGGTTGAGTGAAGCTCTGTGATGCACAAAAAAGTATGGATTTTTTATCTGAAGCCTGACTAACAGAGGACACAACAAACATTACAACATTTGGCTGGAAATTTGCAAAAGGAGTGTGCTCTTAGATTGTCCCTAAACTATTTTACCTCCAAGAGAATCAGCTGTGTTTTGACTGTTGAAGCAGTAGGGAAATCATGCATTATGCCACAGATTGTATCAGTTTAACAACTTGGAGTCCAGCAACTTTTGGAGGTAACCAATGTTGAATTCCCGTGTGCTGAACCAAAAAGCCTCTCAGGTGGTGAACAGATTTGTTGCTCTCTGCAAACAGAGGCAGTTTATTTTATAGCGGAAATAAGATCTTAAGAGCACACTGAGGATATGCAGGTGGACGCACAGAAATGGACTTTGCTTTAGAAGGGATCTGCAATGTCTCGATGGACGTTTTTCCACTTGATCTCATCAGATTTACTTTCAACATGTATTTCTCCTACTGCTAACATGATAAGCATTTGTTAGTCTTCTCTTCCTTTAATTCCATTCAAGCCAATTTGCTAACCAATGCCAGAAATGTCAATCAGCTACACTGAATTATATTTTTAATATTGATTACATTAAAAAAAGTTCAAATAGGCTGCAGGTTACCGGGGCTGAGCTATGTGTCCTGCTATCTAAATCGCACTTTGCTGGAGCCCAGCTCCTCCTTCTACTGTAACACATCATTGCTAACTCTCACACAACCCTTGAAATCCTTCAGACACGCACAGACCAAACAAATCTAAGATATCAGGTCATTTCTTTCTTCTTCATTAAACAGGCCATCCAACAGCAGCATCTGTTTCCAAATTAGCAAGGAGCTGTGTGTAGCTTCTTTGATTATTTAAATCTCCTGATCTGGCATTGTGATCCAACAGTGCCAATGTAAATGCAAACAAGTGAGCTGATTCCAAGTTTATGCAGTGAAAGAGTTGGGAACAACGTGGCCGTCAAGCTCCATAAAGTTGTCCATACATTTTTAGTTTCAACAAAAATCCAACTATCATCCTTGGGCTATTACTTACGTATAACTGGGGTTACATCAGTGAAAGGACATGTCTGTTTATTTATTTTGACTTCTTAATTCCTACCATACTTCTTTTGGCATTTCTGGAGCATAAGGAATTCAGGAACTCATAGTTCTCACTACATTCTGACTGCAGTTCCTGTCATAAAGGGGTCCCCGCTCCCGCAACAGCATTTTCTAAGGCTAGTGGTATAGTTTGTTACATCAAGGGTCTGCTAGGGTGTGTGTGTGGCGTAATTTTTGCCATCAGAGGGTGAAATACTACCTTTTTGGTCACTACACCACGTAACAAGGGCACTAAACGGCATGTGCTACAGATCCACAACGGGCTGCACCCCCCCACCAAGCAGACTAGAATGTAGCATAATAAAAACAATTATGGGTTGACGGTGCCTGCAGCTGTCTATGTATGTGTCTGCAAGGGAGAATAGCCCCTGCTTGAAGGTATAGGAACTACAGGGGTGCAGTCTGCTGACTTTAATGGTATCAATATAAGAAATTAAAGTGCAGATTGCTTATACTGTTATTAATGTTTTAACAATACGGCAAACAGAGTGGATTCTTGAGTAAGCAATTAAAATGCAACTATTTGCTAATTGTTTCAATGTGATTACGCAACAGACAGAAAATTTACCAGAAATTACAAAGCAGATTGCTGAACCATTGAAGCTGTGTATTTTGTAATTTTTCTAACTCTTTTTTTCTTTCTTTCATGCGATCATACGACATAGTTGCACAAGTTGCTAACAAACAACAACATCACGATGGCTTTGTGGATGCCTTAACACATGTCCCTGACAATGCAGTCCTTTTTAACCTTCACTCGGTCTAATGTGGTAGATGTTCACACTTCTTTAGACACAGCGGATATTTCTCCAACACATTTCTCACTTCTCAGGCTACTTTTATCCTCCTGAGAATCCACCTACGTTTTACTCCCTTTAATGAAAAGGAGTAAGCAACGGTGTACAGATGAAGTCCGAGACAAGGAATGGTTTCAAGTTATGATTTGCATGGTGACTGCCACTTTGGGACATGAAATGAACTCTAACAGGGCTTCAAACACCAGGAATTGCTACTGA